TCAAACTGGGGTAACACAATGGTTTTTATAAAGGAAACCAGTGGTTTTTATTCAGCCCCTGACTGCTCTGGAACAATTGCTTCCAATTTAATCAGAGCTGAGCTGCGTAGGCAGTGCATGAGAAACCTTTGATTGGTTTTACGGACTGAGCTTTGAGAGCAAGTGTCATAATTTCCTAATGTCCTCTCTCTCTCTCTCCTGATCCATACTGTCACCAGTAAACAGCAAACTGGACTGGCCAGGAGATCTAACCTTAATTACAGGGAGAGCCGAACCTGAGGAGGACAGATACCATCTACCTAGACCGCTCTGTCCTGTCAGTCAGTCATTCACCTCCAGTTCATTACCTCTGACTTTAACTTTCACAGCAGTTTACATTGTGGAAAAATGCCTCATGGAACAAAGACATGTAGAGACACAAACACTCAAACATAACCACATATTCTTGTACTAACTCTCACACAAACTCTGACATATACACAGCACAGCGGGCACCCACCACACAGACATAAACATTTCCACAAACACACTCATGATCACACACATACACATATAATGGACCTTCATCCCAGCTGCCCTTAACACCACTGCCCCCAGGCAAAACTGGAAAGGCATCTCTAAGAGGCAGTTTCATTTCTAATAAAATTTCCTCATCACCATTTTTATTTTATGCTGACGATTAGATTATATTTTCATTAAAATACAGGATTAACATAACAATCATATTTTATACAAGTCCATTTCGAGCATGATATTTGTTTTCTTTCATATTTGCTCATGTCTGGGCATGACTCTATAATATTGTCTTTTCCTGCAATTTGAATGGTTTCAGTTATACCATTAATCTGCAACAAAACACTGAATAAAAACCAAAAGAACTGCGGATGCTGTAAATCAGGAACAAAAACAAAGTTGCTGGAAAAGCTCAGCAGGTCTGGCAGCATCTGTGAAGGAAAAAACAGAGTTAATGTTTCGGGTCCGGTGACCCTTCCTCAGAAGGGTCAGAAATTCCTTCACAGATGCTGCCAGACCGGCTGGGCTTTTCCAGCAACTTTGTTTTTGTTGCAACAGAACACTGTTAACTTCCTGCCAAAGAATTGTTGCAGGGAAGGGAGAGGATTACGATCCATACAAATAATAAACTCTGCAGAATAGTGGAATCTCTCGGCCTCAGAATATTGCAGAGCCAGTTCCAAAGGCCCAGTCCCTTGTTCTCCACTGTGGAATAATTCTGCTGGAATAAATTCAAATTTCCAGAAAATAATTGGTTATTCATCAATCTCCATTGCATCCAGCTATAATAACATGTACCAAACACTGATGTTGCTGGTATTAACATCAACAGTTGGTTTCAATAGTTTATCATCACTCAATGCAGCTGAAAGAACTCAGCTCCCGCATTATCAAAGACAATCTGGTATTCTTTTGTCTGTTCAAATATTTTTAACAAACTAGATTACTGAAATTCAGAACAGACAGCCAAAAAAATCCACTCATGCCAATATAATGCAGAAGTTCAGGTTTTGTTTTAAACTTGGGAAAATCTAAGATAGCCTTTATTTTTGTTTCTATAGCTGTTACTTCACCATCTCACAATGTGGCCCAAATAAGTGAATTCTATTTTGTCAAATTCACTTTTGGCCAAATGTATGACCAAATTAACCCTTTATAATTAATAAAACAGTTTGTTCAAGTGTTGTAAATGTTCTTCTCAGGTTTGGCTGAACACAACCAAGTCATCAATGTAAACAACACAGTTGCCTAATCCCTCAATAACCCTGTTGATGTATTTTTCATTCTAAACTGCCATGACAGTACAAAATCCATCCAGTGTTACAAAAGCTGATTCTTTGGCCGTGTCAGTCATTGGATCTTGCCAATATTCTCGCAGAAAGTCAATTTTTGTAACCAATCATGCTTGTCGAATCCTCTGATTAAAATCCTCCAGTCGTAGAATTGGGTATGAGTCTGACTTTGTGGTAATCAATACACAAACATTCAGTTTGGTTTTGATACTAGCGGGTATGACCAGGATTAATAATGTCATTGTTCATCATGAACTTGATCTGTTCCCTCATTGAGCTAACTTCTCTGGACTGAGTCTGTAAGGATATTTTATGGGCAATATTCTTCCTAAATTAACATCATGTCTCTCCAAAGTCACATATCCTGGTATATGTACACAAATCAATTTCTGAGTCTGTAATAACTTATGTAAGTTACTTCAATAGTTTTTGGGGAGATAGCATAAATTTCTTCCATCTTTTTAAGCATCTCCATATTATCCAATCTGATCATTAGAGAGTCGTATTCTGAAGTTTCAATTTGTTTCATTCTTGAGTTGTTCTGATATCTTTATTTCATTTCCCATTTACTTCATCACTTGGGGTTGGTTTAGCTCAGTTGGCTGCACAGCTGCTTTATGAAGCAAAATGACACCAACAGCATAGATTCAATTCCTGCACCAGCTGAGGTTACCACAAAGGACTCTCCTTTAGACCTCTCCCCTCACCTGAGGCCTGGTGAGCCTCAGGTTAAACCACCACTAGCCATCTCTGTCTAGTGAGAGAGCAGCCCACTTCTATTGTGACTATCTGACCCATCATGGAGCTGTGATGGGAGGAATGTGCTAGTAATTACACCCCACAACTCCATCAGGCACACTGTTAGTGTAAATATGTTACACCAAAATGACCAAGTGCTCCTCTTTTGTATCAGAATAAAAGACCCCTTTGTCAGGCTTTTTTTAATGAGCTCAGTTTATTATAAACAAAGTTTATTCTTAAAGAAAGTGACAAACTCTGGTTAACATCTAAGCTACAATCCAGAATTGAAACTATATTTGCTTAATCAAAACATAGATACACTTACACAATACAAAAGACAATAGTCTCTGCAGAGAGAATGTTTATTTTTAAAAAGTCTCAGTTGACCAAAGGTCTGAAATAGAATTTGATGCATCTCATGGTCCACTGGGTTTCTTGTCAATAAAATTGAATTACTAACAGCATAGACTGATGAAAAATCTTCAGTTCAAATTGAAATCAAGCTACATCCAGATGATTTGCCAAGGTCCCCAGAAACATCTGCTGAGCAAGAGAGATGATGTGGAGGTGTCAGTGTTGGACTGGGATGGAGAAAGTCAGAAGTTACACGACACCAGGTGACAGTCCAACAGGTCTATTTGAAATCACAAGCTGCTCTGAAGGACTATAACTTGGTGTCGTGCAACTTCTGACTTTGAGAAAGTGAGGGAGAGACTTGTTGGGATTGTTGGGCTGCTGGGATTTCTTCCTTCATTACCCCTTAGGTATGTAAAAGCTGTGGTTTGGAACAATGACTTTTTGGAGTTGCATAGCAGCTACTTTACAAAATCTGGCTCAGAACAACCAGAACCTCCCAGAAAAACTCTGAGAGACATCTTCAGAGGGAATTCTTCACCAAGAGAGGCAAAGACCTGAAACTGAACTGGACAAGCAGTGGGGCGACAATCATGAGTCTAAGACTGGGAATACTGCAGCAAGTAAATCACTTCCTGACTCCCCCTAAAGCCTGTCCACCATCTACAAGGCAGAAGTCAGGAGTGTGATGGAATACTCCCCACTTGCCTGGATGAGTGCAGCTCCAACAACACTCAAGAAGCTTAACACCATCCAGGACAATGCAGCCCACTTGATTGGCACTACATCTACAAGCATTCACTCCCTCCACCACCGATGCTCAGTAACAGCAGTGTGTACTATCTACAAGATGCACTGCAGCAATTCACCAAAGATCCTCAGACAGCACCTTCCAAACGCATAACCACTTCCGTATAGAAAGACAAGGGCAGCAGATACATGGGAACACCACCCCCTGCATGTTTCCCACTAAGTCGCCCACTGTCTTGACTTCAGAATTTTTTTTTTATTTTTCATTCATGGGATGTAGGCATCATTAACTACACCAGCGTTTATTACCCAGAGGGCAGTTAAGTGTCAACTATCTTGCAGTGGGTCTGGAGTCACATGTAGGCCAGGCCAGGCCAGGTAAGGATAGCAGTTTCCTTCCCTAAAGGGCATTAGTGAACCAGATGGGTTTTTCTGACAAATGGCAATGGATTCATGGTCATCATTAGATTCTTAGTTCCAGATTTTTATTAAATTCAAATTGCCCCACTAGCCATAGCAGGATTTTCTGGATGAATAGACTAGCCATTTCCCCACCAGGCCATCACCTCTCTGTTCTTTCAGTGACACTGGGTAAAAACACTGGAACACCCTCCCAAAGGGCATTGTGGGTCTACCCACAGCACAGAGACTGTTTGGAGAAGGCAGCTCACCACCACCTTCTCAAGGGGCAACTTATGGGCAATAAATGCTGGGCCCACCCAGTGATTCTCAATATCATGAATGAATAAAGAGAAGGGAGTGAACCACGGTGCGGGAAAGGGGGCACTGTGAACAGATATTTAATTTACAGGATCCTCTGTTGGGGAGGCAATGGCCTAGTGGTATTATCGCTAGACTGTTAATCCAGAGACCCAGAAAACATTCTGGGGACCTGGGTTCGAATCCTGCCTTGGAAAATGGTGGAAGTTGAATCCAACAAGATATCTGGAATTAAGAATCTAATGATGACCATGAACCCATTGTCAATTGTTGGAAAAAACCATCTGGTTCACTAATGTCCTTTAGGGAAGGAAACTGCCATCCTTACCTGGTCTGGCCTACATGTGACTCCAGACCCACAGCAATGTGGTTGACTCTCAAAATGCCACCTAGCCAGCAAGGCCCTCATCCCATGAATGAATAAAGACAGCACATTGATTCAGCAGGTTCCCAGGCCTGAGTTTAGGCTCCATTTTTACTCCATGACAACCCTCCTCCCCTGACCAGCCTCTCCAGCAATTCCACAAGATTCATGGTCACCATCCAACCAGACTTTGTGAATTCCCAGGATCGTCTCGCGCGGTTTGGAGAAATACACTTCAAACATTCACTTTTTTTTCTTATTTACAGATAAGCCACTCCCCCAGGGAGCACCGGGAAGTGTGATTGGAATTCTGGGAGGGGTCATTGCTGCCGTTATTATCATCAGCGCCATTGTAACCGTCTTCTTCATTTACCGACGGCAACAGAAGAACCGAGCTGACACAGACAATGACCTGTGAGTACCGACCGACCAGGAGCAACAACTACTGCATTTATGTAGCACCTTTAATGTGATAAAATGTTCCAAGGTGAATCACAGGAAAATTTTAAAGCAAACCCCAGACCACTTGAGGAGATATTAGAGCAGACGTCTAAATTCTGGTCAAAGTGGCAGCTTTTAGTGACTGTGTATGGACCAAGTACTGATCACTGATTGTCAGACTGAGTCTGTGATTCTGTAGAAACTGATCCAGTTTGTTTCTTGTCACCCTCAATTAAAAAATTTGAGTCTCAAAACTCTGTGATCACCGCACTCTGTCTCTCTTTCTCTGTTTCTTTCTGTCTCTCTAACCTTCTCTTTCTGTCTTCATGTCTCTCTCTCTCTTACATCTCAGCCTCTCTTCTTACTTTCTCTTTCTCTCGGTCTGTCCTCAGTGTCTAATTGTGCCTGCCACAGAAATCAGATAAAATTAAAGGATGGTAGGAGGTCAATCAGCCCATCATGTCTGCAATGACAATCAGCTATTGAGCTCAATACCACTTTATTTCCCTTTGAATTTCCTCTAATCCTCATCCCTCTTCCCCCATTCCTAGTAATGGATCCCTTAAACAAAGGCAACCAGTCCTTCCTATCTACCCTAACTAGACCCCTCTTAATCTTACACGCTCCACTTAGGTTTCCCATCACCCCTCTCTATTCCAAAGTAAATCAATCTCCATTTATCCATCACTGTCTCAATCTCTGTCTCTTTCACTCACTCATTAAAGACCACCTTCATTATTATCTGCTTCAAGCTTTTCTTGCTAAAGTAAGCACAATTAAATTAGAACTGTTTAAATCTTATTTAATGTCTCCAGTTGCATCCATGTATCTGCTGACTAGTTCTGAATTTGCACCACTGAAAGTTTTTATTAACTATTTGTGAGTTTAAATGGCAGTGAATTATACATCGACACATTACAGTGAAAGTGCAGCTCTTCCTCGTTTTGGGGGTTGGGTCCCCTGTGACTGTGTCCACATTTGATTTGAACGGAGTTCTACAGGAATGTGGAACACTGTCAGAGAGAAGAATAATCACAGAGGACCAAGGTATAATGGAACCACAACTCATACCATCAGAAGGATTAATCCTTCACGGGTAGTTCACAGGGAGTGTTCCTCAAACAGAATTCAATCCTGTCCACATTAGGATCCACTTGATCTTGTGGGTGTGAGAGAGCTAGAGAGGTGGAAAAATTAAGGGAGGGAACTCCAGAGTTTGGGGCACAGGAAGCTAAGGGTACAGGCATCAATGAGAAGTAGAAAGATATCAGAGCATTGTGGAGGTGATGGACATTACAGAGATGGGGAGGATGAGAGCCCTGGAGAGAGATTTGAACATAAGGATTGGAATTTTCACCTTTCCCTAAGACTCAGTCTCTCTGATCAATCTCGTGTCCTTTCCCTGTGAAATTTATAAGTGCAGATTGTGTTCGTCAAACCTTTGAGACATGTTGTTGAAAAGTTTAAGACTTTGCCAATTTTGGTGCATGTGCAAGTGTTTTAAGAAAGCACATGAGCAATAAGGACCCACACGGTGCTGACAGGATCAGCGTTTGTGTCACTGAGTTTGACAGCTGTTTCTGAATTGTATTAGAAAAGATACCAAGTGACCAGGTTACCAGCAAATCACTCGCTCACGCAATCACAACACTCCCTCCCTCCCAATCCACTGCTTCCTATGTTCAGCCCCTCGAACCTGCTCCACTATTCTATCGAGTCATTGAGTCATACAGCACAGAAACAGGCCCTTCAGACCAACCCAAGTTTCCCAAACTAAACTAGTCCCACTTGCCTGCATTTGGCCCATATCTCTCTGAACCTTTCCTATTCATGTACCTGTCCAAATGCCTTTTAAATGTTGTAACTGTACCCACACCCACCGCTTCCTCTGGCAGCTCATTTCGTGGCTGATCTTTTGTATTTTGACTTCCACATTCCCATCTACCCCCTTCAGCCTTCGATTCCCTCTCAAACAAATGGCTGTTTACCTCTGTCTGTTTTCAAAATATTCAAAGACTCTGCCTTCTGAAGAGGAGCATTCTGAACTTGTAAAACACTCAGAGACAATAATTCTCCTCATCTCTGTCCTAACAAGGTAATCCCTAATTTTAAAAACACTGGCTGCAATTTCTGGGCTGATCCATGAGAGGAAACCCCTTTCCACACCTGCCTTGTCAAGGCCATTCAGCCCACTCTTTCCAACCTTTCCTCAGAAGTTAACTCACTCATTCCAGGTATCAGTCGAATAAATCTCCTCCGAACCACCTCCAGTTTGACTTCTGAGGAAAGGTTGGACAGACTGGGCTGAGGTTTCCACTGGAGTTTAGAACAGTGAGGGGTGACTTGATTGAAGTTGGTAAGATCTTGAATGGTTTCCTCCATCCCGTGCCCACCTGACAAGAAATGCTTTCTAAGATGATTGTGCAACTTTGGAACAGAAGGCCATAAAGGTGGAGGTTGGGGTTCATTGAATATTTTGAAGACAGTTGGATAGATTCTTGTTAGTCAGGGAAATCGAGTTTCATAGAATGCCTGCAGTGCAGAAGCCGGCCATTCAGCCCATCGAGTCTACACTGACCCTCTGAAGAGCATCCCTGCAACCCTGCATTTCCAATAGCTAACCCACCCAGCCTACTCATTCCTGGACACTACGGGGCAATTTAGTATGGCCAATCCACCTAGCCTTCACATCTTTGGATTTTGGGAGGAAACCGGAGCACCCGGAGGAAACCCACACGCACACAGGGAGAATGTGCAAACACCACACAGACAGTCGCCTGAGGCTGGAATCGAACCCAGGTCCCTGGCGCTGTGAAGCAGCAGTGCTAACCACTGAGCCACTATGCTGCCCTGAGTAGGTGGGAGCGTGGAGTTTTAAACACAAACAGATTAGCCATGACCTTACTGAATAGTGGAACAGATCTAGGGGACCAAATTGTCCATGTCTGCTCCGATTTGATATGTTGTATTTTTTTTATCAATGTGGAAACCATTCCTAGCACATATACATCCTTCCCTCAAAAACATACAGCTAAACTGCAGACAGTAGATGTCATCTTTTCAATGCCCTGAACAGCTGAAGCATAACATTGTTAATTTATGTTCACTTCCTATTGTAATCAAGGATAGTGTCCCACTGAGGATCCTGCAGTCTTCCAGACTCTATATTGAGTTCAATAACTTTCGGGCTTGAGCTCTCTTATGTCCCTACCCCAAACCCCACACCCCAGGCCTTGTTAACACACAGTCTGCTATTACACATAACCCATTGTCAGCCACTAACAGTCCCATTAATAGCTATCCACCGTCCTAGCCAGATTGTTATCTACTCCTTTGTCTGTCCAGCTGTTCTTCTCTCTCTCTGGGCTCTATCCCCACCTATTGTTTACTCCTTATCCCCTCCCCCACCCTATCTTCTGTTTATCACCCGACATTTTCCTAGCTATCATCAGTTCTGAGCAAGCGTCACCAGATCTGAAACATTAACTCTGATTTCTCTCCACAGATGTTGCCAGACTTGCTGAGCTTTTCCAGCAACTTCTGTTTTTAATCTGATTTACAGCATCCGCAGTTCTTTCGGGTTTTTTTTGACAGTGTCCCATCAGCCACCCTAATGATTTGCTCAAGCTGTATCCTAACATTTTGTGACTGATGCACTGGAATACCTGACGGAGAGTTCAGAATTCTGAATCATCAATAACTGAGTTACTAAAAACCCAAGTGGACAGTTAGGTGAATCCACTTTCCCAGAGAATGGGGAGAATGAGGAACTCACTCCCACAGGCTGGGACTGAGTACAATAATCCAGCTACACTGAAGGAGAAGCTGAATAAGTTCATGATGGAGAAACAGACATGGGAATAAACAGATAGGGTGAGATGAAGGGGATGAAGGAGGCACATGAAGAGCACAGATACCCACATCAACCAGTTGGGCCAAATGGCCTGTTTCTGCGCTGTACATTGAATGGGATTCCTATGTCGAGCACGTTCCCAACACTAACTGCTCGTGATGTGGCTGGATTCAGGGAGCTGCTAGATATCAGGGTCACCAGCAAAGGGAGTGAAAAGGGTTTAAATTTATCACCAACTCCTCACCAGGCCAGGCCGGGGCCCACAGAGACAGGGCTGGGCCCACGGAGACAGGGCTGGGCCCACAGAGACAGGGCTGGGCCCACGGAGACGGGCCGGGGCCCACGGAGACAGGGGCGGGGCCCACGGAGACAAGGCTGGGCCCACGGAGACAGGCTGGGGCCCACGGAGACAGGGCGGGGCCCACGGAGACAGGGCGGGGCCCACGGAGACAGGGCTGGGCCCACGGAGACAGGCCGGGGCCCACGGAGACAGGGCTGGGCCCACGGAGAGAGGACATTGGGATAGATAGTGAACGCAGGTGATTGGTTTCATCACATCATCATGTTGACTGTAGTGACTGCAGTAAAATTATGGAATAAAATGTGGGATGTGATCTGAATCATTGCTCGGTGAAGGTAGTAATTAATCATTCTTACACATTAATCTCTTTTAATTACCATTGTCTTCATTTGATATTTTTTAATTATCGAATTACGAAGCTTAGGCAGGCAGGTGCAGCGCAGTCACTGTACAAACATTCATCCGAGTTCAGAACTTCACTCAGTCCACTTAGATTCTGCTGAAAGGTCATTGACCCGAAAGGTCACTCTGTTCCTGTCACCACTGAAACTAGCGACTTGCCAAGTGTTCCTAGCATTTTCTGTTTTTATTTCTTATTTCACTTCTGCCACGTTTAGCTCTAGTGATTAGGAATCATGTCCACAGCTCTCCAAATCTACTACCCTCTCTATTTAAATAAGTGTGTTTCCATTAGCAGGAACTTGCATGTACAGGTAGGGACAGACACAGCTAAACACAGGCATACCGAACTCCGCCTATTCATTGTACGGGGCGGGGTGGAGGTGTACCCAGGACTGTCACCATGGTATTAGCACATCA